TGTAAAAATAATATTATTGTTCCCTTTAATGAATAGTTTCGTGTGATTCAATAAAAGATTCAACCTATTATGTATCAACGTATTTTTGGTTTTAAACGAAAGTAAATTATTAATGATTGCCAACGAGTGATTTCTAACGTTATTATGCACTGAACTTTGCAATTTTTTAAAATTGCATTCAATGGTTTTCATGAATTCCATGACCACCCTTCTACCTCTGTCAATTGGAAGAGCGAAATTCTCTCCTAATTGCAACAAACATTATATTTTTGTTGGAATCTCAACGGAAGAAAGATTAACAAACCATTTTTTCTTTATGGATGTTATAGAGGAAGTGATTGTATCATTTGCAAAAGAAACCGGAGAAATACTAATGCTTACTTCATTTTAACTGTTCGAAGAGGACAATGGAAACATCTCATGAGCAAACTTATAACTGTTGTCGGAATTGTTTTCTCTCGGCAATCAAAAATATTCCACTTTTTTAATGTTTGCCTTTTTCTTTTTTTCCTCTTTCTGACTCAACCAAGCCATTTTTTTATCTATTCTTTGTTTGTTTAAAACAAATTGACTGTGTAATTTTTGATTCTGGGAATTAAAAAATTTGTCAAGAATATTGAATGGCAACTCATTAGAGATGATACGTACAAGATGGAAAATTATTTTTTGCGAACGTTCGATCGACCTATAAGAATCGTTTAGCACTAACTTTAAAATTTTTTTGATATACTCTTGTCTGATATTATTATATAATATTTCGCTTCTGAAGATTCATGTACATCAAAATTCGGAGAAAACTTTGATATTTTTTGAAGATGTGAAGGAATAATATTATGTTCGATACAATATTTGATCAATCCAACTCTATTTTTTCTTCTTATAGATTAATTTACGATGCTTGATCCAATCTTTCAGAGTTCTGACTTCTGAGAGAAATTATAATAAGCGATTAATGTCTGAGATGCTTTATATAAATCGTCAATCAAATGGTCTTAACATGAAAACTGACACTGAAGCTTTGAATCATGGATACATAGAAATTCTCAATAAGCTGTAGTATGTTTATTTGTATTATTGACCGACACGTTTCGTTCGAGCGACACGTCTTTCTTTGTGTTAAGGAAAGAATTGTGATAACACGCAGAGAATTTTTCTCTTCATATATCGGTACCATTATGTGTGTTGAACTTATTTAACATCGAAAATCAACGTAATGTTATCTATTGACGATGCTTGGATTCACTTGTAGTTGTAATTGGAGATGGGGTGAGTTACTGGTCAACCTATACCAATTAGTATTTAGTAAAAAAATTTTTTTTAATAAAAAAATATTGTGTTGCAATTATTAGCTTGAGTTTCACTATCAATTCCACTCAGCTAAACAACTGGATGGCACAACATTAACTATGTTGAAGATGGTTGTTTCTCACCATATTTCCAATACAATTGTAGTATGATCGGAGCTGCGATTGTGCGAGATGCAGCTCTACAATACGGATGATTAGGTAATTATTATTGCTGAGGATGGCTCAAAATTGTCAGCCGAAACGTCCAAATTATTATAATTATAGATTTTATAAATATCAGATAATATTACGCAATAAATATCTAGCGGTGACTCCTAATACCCATGGTTGTATATACATTTAGTTTAATATAAAAATTATTAATTATGAATATAATGATGGCAATTTTCTTAAAGCAGTAAAAATGATAGTAGCAATTTAAACATCGACTGACTTTCAGTCATCTTCAGCGAACGAATACAACAATAATATTATAAAGTAAAAAATTCTAACGTTTACAAAAATTAATATTTTAGAATGATCTCACGAATGCACTGGATAGCGTCCTCTCTTCAATTCCAGTTGGAGTGCGAACCGTTTTCAATTGTTCCTCGACTATTTTTCGACTATACGTAAACACCAATGCAATCGTGAGGAAAAATTCTAATAATGCAATAGATTGCAGGAACATTCGTTTGAGGATCTATTCAAGACACGTTTATCTGTTTGACGGAGTCACTTGTAATGACAACTACTTTCTTGAAACTTAATTTTAAAAAAATTTTGACATTCAATTTCTGTTCCAATGTGTTGCATTAGAATTTTTCCTCTCGTTTGCATCGGTGTTCACGTACAGTCGAAAAAATAATCGAAGAACTACAGAAAACTATTTGGATCCCATCTGGAATTAAAAATTAGAATTTTTTTACTTTATTATATGCGTTCCGCTGAAGATGAGTGGAAGTCAGTCGAAACGTCCAAAAATAAGAATGTCGTCACTTATATAGTGATAGTTTAATATACATATACATGATATTATTTATTATAATGCACTAAAGTAAAAGCGTAGTTATTTATTACACTTGCTTTAGTATGACGCACTAATAACCTCGTCGTCATTTACACTTGCCCGTTTTATGGTTATATTGTTTAATATTATTTATTATAACGAAGTAATAACCGCGTAGTTATTTACACTTACTTGCCCATTTTACGATTATATTGTTAGAATTTTAAGAGGCCACTTATTGTATTATTATATATATACGTAATACGTATTTTTGATAGAAATTTAGTTGCGTGCGTGCATGCGTGAGGTCAGTGGTGCACATTTGGCTCCCGGGCAACACGAGAATCATCCCACTCTCGCTGTCTCGCTCCCTCTCGCGCAGCGGCTGCGCGATGGTGGGGATGATTCTCGTGTTGCTCGGGAGCCAGATGTGCATCACTGCGTGAGGTAGGGGAAAGAGCGAGAGAGAAATTAAAATATTATTTAAAATATATTTACCGATGACTGTGCAGACGCTGCATCTTTTGTAGATTAAAATGTCCTATGCTTTTGCAGGTCGTCGTCGTCTGACTGCAAAGATGTTCAAATATTAATGTGACATATGAAGTATACAGATATATATAAAAATATGGTAATTGTTCAGTTTAGCTACCCCACCTCAAAAATCAATAAAAATAGGCTTATTCGATGCGTTTTTGCATGAAATGAAAGAATCTGGCAAAAAAAATGTCGCTCTGCCCTGTGAGCCGAGATATTGATCGTTAAATTTCGAGATTTTAGAGGTTAAGATATCTATCATTCCGACTCGCTGCAGCGCTACATATACGTAAGGT